ATATGTATATATGTCTTCATTATGATTAATATTTAATAAAATATAAAAGAGGTATATCTCTTTTTCACATAAATAACAGATAAAACACCATAATGCACTTAAATTATGATATGACAAGAAATATAGGATGACTTTACAATCACAAATATGATAATGATAAAATGAAATATTTATAAGGATAATAAGTATTATTATTATACTGCTATATAAAACGTTTACAAATAAATATAAACAATAATGGAACAAATACATTTATATAACTAATAATATTAATTATATTTACCTTTAATGGGTAATGCGATATACTAGATAAATCTGGCATTTTTCTGCAGTTGAAGTCTACGTGCCTTTTGTGAAAAAAATTGCTTTCTTATTTCCTTCAAACCGCTAAATACAACAATCTTTAGTATCTGTCACTACTAAACTACTTTATCTCCTTCCTTTCTATCAGCACTTCATAATGATATATACAGAATTAAGTATTGCGTATATAAACGCCTTTTACGTTTACTGCCATCTGACATAATTTTTCAAAACTTCATTTAAAATTAGAAGCTAACCTTACTTATGCGTAAAACATCGATATTAGTAATCAATAGTACGACCTTACACCCACTCCGTTTGACGTAAATTTATACAAAATTTATAAACATAGCTTCACAAAGCTACTATGAATATTTAAAAAATATCTTTTTAGTTTGTAAATAAATAATATTTAAAAATGCATTTATATTAATAGAACTGTATAAGAAAAAAATTATAATTATAATTAAATGTATTTTTTATTAATAAATGTCTTTTTTTATTATAAAAATAAATTGAATTTAACTAAATCATAGTTGTTATTTATACTATAACTATTGAATGAGAACATAAGTAAGTATATAAGTTTCATTAAAACGTAAAATCGTTAATGGTCAAGTGAAGAAGTTCTATGCATCCAAGTATCAAATTTATTTTAATTATGATGTATTATTTTTTAAAAACTTCAATATAAATATTGTTAAACTTATAAAGTTAAATTTAATATTTATTGTTTATTAATTTTCGTATAATTATTTAATAAAATAAATACGTCGGTATGAGCGCTACGATCTGTTTCTAACCAGTCGATAATGCAGTGGATGACACAAAAATTAATAGAGGTTTCTGAACTTAAATATTTTTAAACCTTTAAGTAAATATTTTCATTTACGAAACTCATATTTTTATTTGATATATCTTTTCAAATGTTTCACAACTTTGATAACTAAGATGACGCCACAATATACTGCATTACTTAAACGTACTGATTATTGTCTATTCTAAAGTATTCGACATTGTTGAATGAAAATTTCGTGTATATATCATGTTACGAAGAGGAATTTTATCTTTGAAACATATTAGGTTATTTAGGAGAAATTATTACGATGATGCACCTGTCATTGGAACATCACAAGATACAAAATCATCTACTTTTCAAGTAAGAAAAATATGAAGTATTTATTTTAACAAAAGTAAAACAATGTAAAAATCTGTTTACTTTGAATATTCAATTATTTATATTGTAGTATTAACTAAATTCATTATCATTCTTTTATTTTTGTTCAAGTATGATAGTAATGTAATAATCACTTTTAAATCAATATTCAAAATTAAAGATATTTTATTAGATTTTACATTGTTATAATGTTACAAGATAAATATGTTGTTAACATGTATGAGAATATTTGATTAACACTTGCAAAAATAATAACATTAATTTGATATTAAAGTATTTGACAAAATTTTAGGAGAATTATCTACAAATGAAAACAGTAGTAGATGAATTGAAATCTATTGTAGAAAAAATAGTAGAGGGTGGGGAACGTAAAGCCAGAGATAGACATTTAAGCAAAGGAAAATTATTACCAAGAGACCGTATCGATGTTCTTCTAGATAAGGGTTCTCCTTTTTTAGAGTTTTCACAATTGGCAGGATACCAGATGTATGGAAAAGAAGAAATACCAGCTGGTGGAATAATAACTGGTATTGGTAGAGTAGAAGGGTAATTGAAATACTTAGAATTAATTGATACATTACAATTATACTCATAATTAATTAATAATTGTTTCATATAGCAATGAGTGCTTAATAGTTGCAAATGATAGTACGGTAAAAGGTGGCACTTATTACCCAATTTCAGTAAAAAAGCATTTGCGTGCGCAAGAAATAGCCGAAGAAAATAGATTACCTTGTATATACCTGGTTGACAGTGGCGGAGCAAATTTACCATATCAAGCCGATGTATTTCCTGACAAAATTCATTTTGGTAGAAGTTTTTATAATCAAGCTAATATGAGTGCTAAGGGAATTGCACAAATTGCTGTAGTGATGGGAAGTTGCACAGCAGGTTTGATCTATTCATTAATTTAACTTTACTATGTGTATTTCCTCAATATCATTTATATCATTTAATTTATTGTATTAAAGGTGGTGCATATATTCCTGCAATGGCAGATGAAAATATTATTGTTGGAAATCAGGGTACTATATTCTTGGGTGGTCCACCTTTAGTGAAAGCATCTACTGGAGAAGAAGTTACGCCAGAAGATTTAGGAGGAGCAGCTCTACACTGTCGGTAATTGAAACACATCCACATTATTCTATACATTTAATTTAGTTATTATTTCACATCCTGTAATCTTAACATTTCAGAAAAACTGGTGTGTCGGATTACTATGCTGTTGATGACACTCATGCTTTGTATTTAGCACGACGAATTGTTAAAAATCTAAATCGTATTCCTCCCATGGATGTAAAAATTGATTCAAAAGTAGAACCACCAGTACATGCTGTTGATGAACTTTATGGTATAGTTGGTACCAATTTAAAACAACATTTTGATGTACGGGAAGTTATTGCAAGAATTGTTGATGGATCAAGATTTCACGAATTTAAAGCATTATACGGGGAGACATTGGTCACTGGATTTGCTAACATTTATGGTTATCCTGTAGGAATTGTTGCAAATAATGGTGTACTCTTCTCTGAAAGCGCATTGAAAGGAGCGCATTTTGTACAATTGTGCGCGCAAAGAAAAATACCTCTTGTGTTTTTGCAAAATATTACAGGTTAATTTTTAATGCATATACTACAATTAATTTTAATTTAACTTATTTACTGTTTGTTTTTAATTAATATATGTGTTTGTTTTTGTTTATAACGCAGGATTTATGGTAGGTAAAGATGCAGAAGAAGGTGGTATTGCTAAAAATGGTGCAAAAATGGTAACAGCAGTAGCATGTGCAAAGGTTCCCAAAATTACCGTGCTAATTGGAGGTTCTTATGGTGCCGGAAATTATGGTAATTTTGTTTATTACATTTGCAATGTATGTGTATCTATGAGAAATAAATCTTTAATACATTTCTTTTGATCAATTTTGATATAGGCATGTGTGGGCGTTCCTATTCCCCACGTTTTTTATACTCGTGGCCAAATTCTAGGATCTCTGTGATGGGGGGAGAACAAGCTGCCAACGTAATGGTTCATATTTCTAAAGAAAAGCGTCTCCGAGAAGGCCAAGAAGTATAATTTTAAGTTTTTCTATTTATTTTACTTAAAAATACAGATTTTACTAACATTTTATATTATAGTTGACGGAAGAAGAAGAAAAGAAAATTAAAGAACCAATTATTAAAAAATTCGAGGAAGAAGGTCATCCATACTACTCGAGTGCTAGGTAATTTAGACTTATTTTTAATGCTATATAAGTAAATAAGAAAACAAAGAACATGCGAAAAATTTATAAATTATATTTTCAAAGAATATGGGATGATGGAGTGATTGATCCAGTTGATACTAGAACAGTGCTTGGACTAAGTCTAGCTGCCTGTTTGAATGCTCCAATACCGGAAAGCAAATTTGGTATTTTCAGGATGTAATATATATATTCTAGGATATATTTTTATATTAAAAATTTATCTATACGTTTATAAAAATGTATATTTTATATCTGTTATATTATATATAAGTTTAATGATATTTGATAACGACTCAACAGCTTCCAATTATTTCACAATCTTTTAGTTTCCAGAAAATGTTCAAAGAAATGTATAAAATTATTGGAAATGAAAAGTATATTTTTAAAAGTTTGGAAGTTGTTGATCTAGATCAAAGAAAGATCTCTATTTTTATATGACAATATTTTATATATAAAAATATATAGAACATTCCATAAGTTCAAACTGTAAATCTATGAATAAAATTTTCAATTTTATCGGCATCTGTCAAATATTGGCAGTATGAGAATTGTTGATTTAATTACAAGCAATTTTAAAAGTTTTTCTGTTTTTCCATTCCTTTTACATCCACACCATCATTCTTGCTTTATTTCTGTTACAGAAATGCATGTATTAATGATTTTTTCAGTACAATCTTATTGCACGAATTTAAGTCTTATATAAAATATTAATATTTAATTCTATATATATATATTTATTAAATCTACAAATTTTTACTCATAAATTCATGCGTGTATTTTTGATCATCTTGCCTCCTTTCCTACATTAATTCTCAATTAGCTCTTAAACAGTGAATAATTCCCTAATTCTTCAATAGTGTTAGAGCGAAATTGCGTTATAGAAGTATTGTGCATGCGGGGATTATCTGTATTTCTGTTCATCTATACTTCTTTTCATCATTGAAAAATATTGGAAATATAAATATATATAATAAAAACTAAAAAATCAATTAAGGTCAATAAAATACACAGTAAATTAGTGACAGAGAATATATCACACAGATGTGTAGTATTTAAATCGTCATATCAGCCTTCGCTTTATTTTTACTTATGTTACAGTTAAGCTATAGTTATACCGATAATAGTTAGCCATAATTATTTAATATAGTATAATAATTAAGTCATGTTAAAATATTATACCCCGTCACACGACTAGGTTTTTGGCTTTCTCCGCTCGCAAAGGCCAATTTTCTCATGACAATCAATTGTAGAGAGAATAGATCATGTAAATGTAAAAATTGTCTAAGAAAGCACAAGAAGAAATGAATAGAAGAAAATTCGGCAGTCGCAGAACGGAGAAATCTTATGAGTTTCCATTATGAGCTATATATATATATATATGTATATATATATATACTTAAAATGAAAATTCTTCCCTTAACGCACCTTAACATCCCTTTATCACTGTCATTTAAAAGATATTTATTTTTCATTATCACATAAAATCGTATTGTATCGTTCAAGAGTACGGTATCATCGTTTGCGTTGAACTCCTATTTTCATTTTGAATATGTCCTTTCATACGATACTTTATGATATAACCCGTGTTTGCTAAAAAAACGAAATAAAAAAAAAGAGAAAGAAAAAGAAATAAAAAAGTTATTAGAGATTACACTTGTGGCTTGTAATCTCCACAACGTTTAAAACCCTTATTAATTATAAACCCTTTCATGTCTATCTCGTATGTTTTGATATAAGAAAAAAAAAGAAAGAGAAAAAGTAGACATTGCACCTTAAGATTACATTTCGCTTGAAAACTTAGGTATCCCGTGTTTCGTTTTATTTACAATCAATGTGTAATATTTTCTTTCCATTTTATAGGACAGTGTAGAGAGAGGCGAGGAAGAAGATGAAAAGTCCAAAGGTCGTCGCAAAGTTAAACGATTCAGCAGCATTAGTCTCTATATCAGTGAGTTTGTATTTGAACTGTTCTCTGACCTCTTCTGCTATGACTGGTCTTTCCTCTATTCTAACCGTTGTCGGTACTGATTGTTCTTCTTCTGCGATCACTGCTCTTTCCTCGGTTCTATTCTTACCTTTTCGAATGAACTCCGATAGAACTGTACGTGAGTATCATTAGAAGAAAATGGATTTAACGAGGATCTTGAAATGATTAATTGATCGTTCTTACGTAGAGTGAAGAGTGGTTTACCTTGATCTATCATTACGTCGTCCTCGAAGTCAACCTTGATGAAGGTAGACATGGTCACCTCGAACAATTTATTCTTATCCGTGTTCGACGATGCTATTGCTCTTTTTTTCCTACCGAACCCTACTTGTCCGTTGCTGCATTCAATCTAGAACAGAAACGGTTCAATATGTAATGATGAAAATAAACCAATTTACTTTGTTGCTTCACCTATTATTATTTCATCTTAGAAAACTGAGTGAAAAATGTCTAAATAATAAAGCTAGAAAGCTAGTTTAATCCTTTATATCTAGTCTCGTGTGATGCTACAATTACGTATCGATATATCAAAATTTGGTAATTTATTACCCAAATGTGGTGTACATCTTGTTCTATAATTTTTCTTTGGAAACCAATAAGATTATTTATAGTGATTATCAACTTTATCTTAAAATCTAGAAGTATATCTATAATTTTGGAAAATTCACAATTTATTATTAATTTGCATTTGAAGGTTGATATTTGTTGTTTTACATTTTATAAATTTGTTTATAGTCACGAAAAAATTCGATTTATAGAGGGTTAACTTTCTTTGAAAAGTTCATTGAGAATAAATATCAAAAAGAAGAAATATTTATGAAAAATTTCTTTTTTATTATATAATTAAAAAGTCTTATTATATATATTAATATTATCTTGTCTTTGTAAAAACTTACCCCTAGACATTTGTCCAAGCAAACATTAACAGTACCACGGAACTGAACATAAGTACTTTCAGGAAACTTGAAAGCACGGAACTTTGCGGTAAGAAAATCACCATTCACGGTGTTGAAATTCTCGAATAGATATGGATCCACCGAACATCTGACAGTAAATGGGTGAAGTCGTTAAACATTTTGTTTTTACATACTTTAAAACGTGACTACGAAAACAATTCATTTTATACTCACCCATTGATGATTATCGTTTCTTCTTGCGTCTTTGTGTCGGTGACTTGCATATAAGTCACCAACAATCCGTAGATCGGTGCTGACTCATTGTCCAGAAAAATCTCCATTTGTAAAGGAGTACCAGGGCTAACATTAAGTTCACCGGTAACCAAGGTTCCACCTTGTTTTACACCCACGCCTAGAATCGGAACGGGTGCCGAGACTGAGATTTCACCACGAACTTCAATGATGCTAAAACGAGAGGCAAGGTCTTATTTAATTTAGATTTTATTCAAAAAATAAAAAAATAAAACAATTATACTTAACATTAAAATAAAATTCATGTATTCATATTTCAATTATTATCTAAAATAAAATTAATAACACATACATATAGCAAAAAGAAAGAATAAAAATAACAAATTTTAAATTATAAGTATTAGAAATAACATTTAATAAATTATTTGTTACTACTTGATAATAATTCTAATTAAAATACCACAAATTTGTAAAATAAAATGAGCGTATTATATACCTATAAATAAAAGGAGTGATTGTAAAATTTCGTTTACGAACATTTTTATATACCTGTTTCGACAGATATCTAAAATTGACGAGTAAATGAAAATACGTATTTTGTGGTATACATTATAAAAAAATTTAAAAATAAAAGAGGTGATGAGGGAAATGGTTTTTGGTATATATTCGTATCATTCAATCAATAAAAGTAGGGCAAAAATTGCTAGAAAATAATAGTAGTGGTTTTTGCAATTTTGCGCATGAAGTTCGAAGTCTGTCATATTGGCGAATGTCCCGTAAATCTAATGTTAATAGTAAAGAAAAAAAATATTTGTACAAAAATAGACTGTTACTTATCGATGTTCATGAAACACTTTTAATGTCGTCGAATTTCTTTTAGAGAACTACCGTTCATCGCGTAAACGTGCGGAACAACGACTATTCAGACTGTAAGTCTCGATCATCAGATTCTATTGCACGAAACGACGAGCATCTGTCGGACAAGACCGTTGCGTGCATCGAGAATAGAACAAGTAGGATAAACTACCAACAGACTAGCATCTACTTTATATATAAGTTTATTTTTTATTGTTTTTTTTATTTCAATAAAATAATCGCACATGCTGTTTCTAACGTAAGTCTCAGACTGATGAAGTAACGAAAAAAATAAACAACATTGGATCAAGTCTTGCACCGGAATAATTCGATGAATTTTGCCAGATGTTGAAGAAAAAAAAAGAGAAGAATGAGTAATTTTCATCGCTCCTTGTCTAGAAACTCGCAGTCATCCGAAACGGTCGATGTTGGTAATCGTTTCGCGGTTGGACTTTCTGCTTTATCGAGATAACGACGAAGGAAGAAGAAGTACTTTCGTGTACCGTTAAGAAGAGATAAATTCGTTATCGTGTCGCGCGAGATTCCCGAAAGTCGAAACCTTACCTAAACGAGGTAATTAATGTCAGATTTCAATGGAGGATTTCAATTCTCCGGAAAAACGAATCTCTTATCGAGTTTCAGAGAAAAGTACGTTATTTTGATCGCAACAGCGGTCTACCAACTACGTCTTTGCGAAACGCTGATTATTTGACAATAAAATCCTTACGGTTTGTTTCTTAGTTACTCGTCGGAGTAACGGAGTCTTCTCAATGACGGTGGGAAAACATGTGACTATCATTAGAATTATTTTCAGGGTGGTCGAAATTATAATTAACATCGTCGTTGGAAGATGTATCAACATTTCACCTAGATTCTGGTTTAGATAGTTAGAAATGTAGTATAAATAATTATTATTAGTATAATTATTATTATTACACAAGGTGACTTCAAATGACTTTTAAATTATAAGTTTAATGACTAATTGGTTAACACATTGGTTTCATCAAGGGAGAGAATAGTGATGTATCAGCTTTTCTTATATGTGGAGAAGTTCAAAAATTTTCAAAGTCGATTTTGTTTCTTTAGATGTAACTACATATTTTTTTTCATCAAAAATCGAAAGAATATTAAGTATCAAATACTATGATAGTTGATTCAAGCCTAATAATTACCGAAATATTTTACAATAAGTTGCTTTGAAGATACAGAAAACAAGAAGAAGTAAAATTGATTTTAAAAATTTTGAAACCTATTTAACGTATAAGAAAAGTTGATACGTAATTATTGAATCCTTTCCATCTCCTTTGCCTCCTTAAAACCAAGAAATTTTGTTATCTACTATTTTTTAATTTTTTAGTAGAAGCATAATTTTAAATCAATTTAAGATACGCAAGTTACACGAATCACGCTGTATATTAATAATTATAATTAAAATATTATTAGTAATATATCCATATTGAAAAAAAGTCGAACTCATCCAATAGAAAAAAACTATGAACAAAATTATCTCGCGATCAGAATTTCATAAATCATTATTCAGTACTCTTAAATTATTTCGGAGAGGAATGTTAGCAGGGTTCGGCGACCTCGACAATTCTCGCGTGTTGAAAAAAAGATTATCATTTCATCAATATCGTTAGAAGTAAAGTTCCTTTAAATAAATTATCGAGATAGCTTACAAAGCAGGCGCCCGTATCCATCTATACCTCGTACGTTATTTCCTCGTCTGAAAGCGAGCAAAAAACATTCTCATCTTTTTTAGGCACAACCGCAGGGAGTGTCTTATCCAATCACCATCGCAAAAAAAATTTTTTATAGAAATGGAATGTTTCAATTTTGTTTAAAATTCTGCACGAATCATGACGTTTTTTTAAATATACATGTACGAATATTTGATTTTTTATTATAATTATAAGAACAAATTAGCTTAATAGAATCTAATAAGATTTTTGGCTGACTTTTGACTGAACATAGACGATATGTGCATATATGTAAATTTTGTCTGTAACTATAACAATAAATTGATCAAATAAAACATAATAAATTTCTATAAATATTAAATTAGAAATTTTAGATATATTATTTACAAATTTTCAAAATGCCGATATTATTGTTATAAATATTCTAATGTGAAATATAAATGAAATTGTGTTTAACTTTTAATTTAATTTACATATCAATATATAACTAGCCAAAGCATTTGCGTTCGTATTTTCTTGTGAGTTCCTATTATCTCAAAGGATCTAGGTAAAGATCACGCGGAACGCGCCTTCGACGAGGCACTTTCCTCTTTTCCAGGACACGGAGAAAGCGAGTGATTGAGAATAGAGGTCGACGCTCTCGAACAACGCAACTCGTCCGGCAGGAAATTACGTGGGAGGACTGTGGGAAGAGATTTAAATCGAACTACTTTTCGATACAAAAGCTATTGCAATATCTTGGAAAATACGAAGACAATAAACTTCCCTGTTTCTTGAGATTTTATGTCACATATGACAAAAAAAAACCGAAAATATTCTTCAAATATAGAAGATTTCGTTGTCAGCATTGTAAGATTATTTAATTTAAAAAAAAAGAATAAAAAAACTTTCTTTTCATATTACCTAATGGTAATATTAGGAAGTGTTTTATATTCTTATTTATAAGGAAATGTTTTATATCCTTATTTATAAATCGAATAGA